GCGCTCCTGACAGGAAACGCATTCTCCAGCCGCAACTGCGCGTGGCAATACCATTTTTCCTCCTCTTAAATATATTCCAAGGACCGTGGGAACTCGTTGAAATGTCAACGACATTTTACTGTTGCCACGTACAACAACTTCATTAATTATTCGAATAAATTTATCTCTATCTCACTCTTGCGATCTTTTTAATATTTCATATTTTTATCTTTTTGTTGTTTTTATTTTTTTTTATTTTTCTTCCCCTATTCCCCGTACGTTGTCATTATTTTACACATCTTACACAATTTTCAATAGCAATATTTGCACGATTTTCTTTATGATATATTTATAAACATTCATGTGATTTTTCTTTTCCATTTATATTACAATATTTATATACATATATTGACATACTTATAAATTGAATCAAAGTGAACGAACAAATTTGACGATTTGTTTTATAAAACTGAAATAAAAATTAATTACGTCTAATGTAAGATAAAGTATAAAAATATATAAAATATATAAAAATATAAATATAATTATAATATATATAAATTGTAGATAATATTATAGCAAAGATAATAGCAACATCTGGTATATTATAAAATACCATAAAACAAATTGTACCCTTGCTACAATTTAAAAAAAAAAAAAAACCAAACCAAATATAAGAAAGAAATTTCGTTTTCAGATTAAAAATCTTTCGATTAACATTTTTTTGTCACTCTGTTCAATTTTAGTTTTTTTAATAAAAAATAATACATAAATACATATTGTAGGAAATATTATAGCTAAGATAATAGTATTGAAAAAAAAAAAAAAAAACAGAAAAAAAAGAACAAGATATAAAATCTTCTATCACGTTTCGCTTTGAAGAAACCAAAAGAACCAAAGAAATCAACGTGACTGTGGATTTGAATTAGTTTCGGTAATCAAACCGATCCTTTATTCGTCTTTCTATAAACCAACAAAAGGGATGGGGACGTACTATGTCAGTAAAGGAAAAAAGGAAAAAAGGATTTCTTCCGTGATTCAGTCATGCACGGATTACACTTTTGATAAAATGAACAAAAAGATCGATCGATTCTCGAATCGTTCCTCGAGTTTGATCGGAGATAGGCTGATAGCTCGTGCAAGCGAATCTAATCAAAAATTAAACGCTAAACTATATATATATATAATATTATACTTGATAATTTCTGTATAGACGGAAGGTGAAAATATCAGCAAATTGGAAAAAGCAGAAATTCTAGAATTGACGGTACGACATTTACAAAGATCACAAGCTGCTCGTGCCGCCGGTTTATTTCCTGGTATTTTAACAACGTCAACATCAACATCAACGTCAACTGCAACAACAACGACTACAACAGCATCAACAACTACAACAACAACAAGAATGACGAGTATAATGAACGATGAAACTACTGCTGAAAGTCGATGGCAATCTGGTTTTGGACATTGCGCTACGGAAGCTTGCAGATTTTTAGCTGCACTTCCTGGTAAAGCGGCGGAAAATTTAGCCAGGCATCTGGCCGTAGGTCTTCAAAATAATTCCAAGATTAACTCGTTAAACGTGAGTTTTTATCAATTTTGATATTATTCAAAATTATCCAAAGAAAAATATAAAAAGATGACAATATTTCTTGTATTTCAGATCAATCCAAACTTGTCAACTACGCTAATCGATTTGGATCATAGTACTTTAATACCTTGTCCTTGTCCAATCAGTCCAATTTCTTCAACAGATATGAATAATCCAATTTCTGTTAATAAAACTGATCATTCTAATGATGTTAAAATAGAAACATTTAAAAGTAATTCTTCTAACGTGATAGGAACAACCATAGGCACGTTAGAAGATTGTAAAAGATATCAAGATAATAATCAAATTAAATTAACATTAACTAAAGATAATCGTAAAAGTTCTATGATTAAACGTAAAACGATGAATACGCAAAGAATTAATATGGAAGAAGAAGAAGAAATAGACGTTGAACGTGTGGATGATGATGATCTCATGTGGAGACCATGGTAGCGACAAATTATTGTTTGTTTATTATATAAATAATATTTTTGTACAATATTATTTATTCGTTTAATCAATCGTGATTATATATTAATTTTACTTAGTAATTAATTGTTACAATTTTATGATATAAAATAATAATAATAATAATAATTAAGTAGGATTATAATAGTATTATTATGATACTAATGATCCGTATTTTTGGTACATGGCTTTAATTCCGTAATAATAATATTGTACGATTCACTCTTGCAATATTATTTTAAGTTAATCATAGTTTATACTATAAGGAAAAATCATGACAAAATATTACCTCTAATTATTTTTAAAATGTTCTATAACAAACTTGTACTTTTACTTTTCGTATAGTATAATCATATAAAACTTAAAACATTTGTTACAGCATCGAATGAACAATTAATGTAATATTGTACTTTTATATATTAATTCTTTCATCTTTTTTGTTTTTTTTCTTAATTATTATTTTACATTAGATTAAGTATTATCTAAGAATATTTACGACAAATCGTATCACTCATTATATATATATATATAGATATTTATTCCAATTGTCATATAAAATTATTAATACTTCGTGTGTGATTAACCTGTGATAGCCAAATGAAAAAGTTAAAGTTATACTTAAAACTTTATTTTATACTATTACATTTCTTGATATTTTAAATAAAAATATTTTATATGCTTTTTATCCCTATAAGCTTACTTTAAATCAAATGAAAAGAAAAACATTGATATTACCGACAAATGATACAATAAAACTTTGTTATTTAATGTCGGTAAATAGTTAAATAAATTGTACACGTGGTAATGATCTGTCGATAATGCAGATGCAAGCGTAGGTAATCCTTTATTCATAGTATGCGCATGCGCAGAAGTCACGTGGGTTCTTAAACAGCAATATGAAGCGGCTGCTTTGCTCGTCTACAAAATAGCTGTCGATTGTTACACTTGGTATAAACAAATAGCATTTTTGCAGTTTTATAATTAAAATCAATATTCTCGTGATTAATTATTGTTGTTCTCATTATATTTTAGGTAACAAAGATACAAATAATATATTATCTTGAAGACTTTGAGTGAATAATATTTGAAGTGTTATTTTTGTTTTAGGTTATGTGCATTAAAGATTAAGAAGTTAATATCAAAGTTTTAAATTATTTTTATTTAAGATTAATTTATATTTTTAAAATTGTTCACTTTTACGAATCACCCTGGGTAATCAAAAGCTATTCAAAGGTAATTTGTCTGAACACTCTTGAGACTTTAAATTAGTTGATAAATATTGTAGGTTATCATTATTTTAAAATGGAAATGTGTAGTTCCAATGCCTAGTGTTAAAGATGAATCAGAGCCAGAAGGAGAAGAAATGTCTCACGATAGCAATGATAGCAACCAAAGTTCTGCGTCGTGTGATAGTAGTGCAGAACACAGTGACAGCGATGACTCCTCGGAGATGGATGAAGATGAGTGCGAAAGAAGACGTAATGAGTGTATGGAGAACTTAGTTGATTTAGAAAGACAATTTACATTACTCAAAGAACAGTAAGCATAATGTTATAACAAAGTCAAACTAAATGCAGTGTAATTGCAGTATTTATCAATTATTTCATATTTTACAATTAATATTAATTATGATATGTTTCATTTCTATAGATTGTATCGTGAAAGAATAACACAAGTCGATACCAAACTTGGAGAAGTACGCGTTGGTAAATCAGAAGAATATTTAATACCCCTAGAACGTTTAAAAGAAAATATGAAAACCAAAACTGAAGTAGCTGGAATATTGAAACAATACAGATTACAGAATATAGAAAATAAATTTTTAGCAGAGGAACAGGCCGCTTTGCAAAATTTTGAAAGTGAGAAAGAATTAATTTGGGATTATATACATAATGATCTTCAGGAGAAAATACGTAGATTAGAAGAGGATAGAAATAATGTTGACATACATGCAGATTTATGGTTAAATTCAAGTGGTAGAAGACGTAGGAATCATACAGAGAGAAGGAAAGCAGTTTCAGTAGCAGGACCGTATATCGTTTATATGCTTAATGATTCTGATATTTTAGAAGATTGGGCCTTAATAAAAAAGAGTTTGAGTAGTAGAAAAACAGAAATAATTTAAAATATAAATTTGTAAATCAACACTTGTCACTATGTGAATGTACATTAATATGAACGTGTAGTGTTACGCTGCAAAATTAACAAATTATTTTCTCTTTTAAAATTGACTGTGGCAACTGTTATTTTTGATGCAGTCATCTTTTTGATTTTCCTCATCTATGATACTGTGCCTTTAAGTGCAATGAACTGAACAAAAATTAAAACCTCCTTTGCATCATGAGAAACTGTTGTTAAAAGCAATGGATGGTTAAAGTGTAAGTCTAATAGAACAATATCTTTAAAGTATACTTAATGCTATACTTAAAAACAAAAACAAAAAAAAAGCAAGAACTTCGAAAGACCTTACTAATTGTACATCTAAATTTTATATTGTGATATAATAAAGATATTTAAATTAATTTATTCTAACAATAACAGTTAAAGAGTTTAAAATAGTAACATCATAATTAATGTGTAAATAAATTACGTTCTCATTGAATAAATAATAAATTTAACTTCATACATAATTATGAACAATTCAATATTATAACTTTATACTGGTTTCTTTCTTTTTTTTTTTTTTTTTCCATTTGAAATCATGACAATTATATTTGTTATTTTTTATGATATTTAAGACAATTTTGATCAGATTACGTATAAATATTTTAATAAAGATTAAATGAGCTAATAATGTATTCTAATGTTTTATACAACACCGATTAATTTTGTAATGTAGTACCTGAGTCTAAATTTAATTCTTCATTTAGTTTCTAGATGTCACTAAATGTTATTTAAAATTGAGTCATTTTAAGGCCATAACCAACCGCTATAGTATGGAGTGTAGAGGTAAGGAGAATCATCTGTGTATATGAAAATGTTATAGGATCCCTAGCGCGTACGATAATTTTACGCCCCTGTGTCGATCAGACGAACTAAAGTCTCTGGGATCACTGTGTGCGAGGCGTGCTGGGCTCGAGAAAGGACGTAAAATGTTTCGCGATTTAGCTTTACTGACCTCTACCTGTGCTGCCAGATCGTGGGTAAATCTTACCCTCTCCCTGTGCCACTGGGATTGCACACAATGAAAGTTACCCATGTCCGTGTGTTCGGGATGTCGAAAGAAGTCGAGTGTAACCGAAGTTGGCGGGCACGCCGGAGTGGCACACTATGAAAGCGACTCATGTCCATGTGTTCGGACGACACGAGTCGCTTTCATAGTGTGCCACTCCGGCGTGCCCGCCAACTTCGGTTACACTCGGCTTTCCTCGACATCCCAAACACACGGATATGGAAAACTTTCATTGTGTGCAATCCCAGTGGCACAGGGAGAGGGTAAGATTTACCCACGATCTGACAGCACTGTCCTCTACGCTCGTTTACCTATACGTACCGTAACCTATACGTTATACCAAAGATCAACAACGTGGTTAAGGTTCAAATTCGAATTTTTTCTTCTTCAGAAATTGCAATAAAAAAGGTAAGTAAGGTAGTAAAACATACACAGTGTATGTATATATGCAAATAACTTGTCCTATTAATATTTAGTGTTTTAAGCAGCAATATTTCTGTGGCTTATATAAATGGTTTGCTATTTAAGTTTGGGAGGTTATGGTTCTCTAACCTATTAAGTATTGGCTTTTGCTTATTTAAGTATAATTAAACTTAAGAATAATGAAATAATCTATATTTATAGATTTTTAATTGTTGTAGATGTTCTCAAAAAATGAACAAATCTCTGCATTTGCAGTATATTCAAAAAGACGTAAAAATTCAGACACTTCATTACGGTTACAGAAATTTCTAAAGAAACGCTCAAATATGGGGAATAAAAAAACAAAAAGAACTGGCAATATAACAAAGAAAAAGATATCGAAAGCTATTTCGATTAATAAAAGAAAGAGGAGTCCTACAAATAATTCTAAATCCGCAACTCATGATACTACACTGACAATAGATGAGATTAATAATAAAACGCCAATGTTTACTATAAAGGATGATGAAAATAAGGAAGGAAGATATATGATATTTAATAGCGATAACTTTTTCAGTAGTACAGAACGTTGTGCTTCTATTTTTAATACTACTAATGAAACAAATGACGGTCCAATATTTCAGACAGTTGATAATAATAATAGATCAAAGAAAAAATATATAAAACCAAAGAAACAGAATAAAGGTGATGATAATAATGATGATGATGATGATGATGATGAACCACATGCGATAGGACATCAATCACGTTTGACCGCTTCTAATTTTAATGAATTATTTAAATTAAATCCTGTATTTCAAAGTTGTACGATACTTGAATGGCTTATAAGTCCATTAACTATTAACAAATTTTTTGTGTATGTATTACAAAAACATATACATAAATAATAATAATAATAATATTTCAATTTATGTCTATATAAAAATATATTTAATAATGTATTATTTATTTTAGTAATATTTGGGAAAGAAAACCTGCACATATAATAAGGTCTCGTGAAAATTACTATAAAGATCTTATGTCAACTCCTATATTTGACAAAATGTTAAGATATAATTGTATATTATTTTCAAAGAATATTGATATTACTACATATGAAGATGGTATAAAAATCGATCATAGTCCTGTAGGTCGTGCTTTACCTAACGTTGTTTGGGATTATTATAGAAATGGCTGTTCAGTGAGAATGTTAAATCCACAAACTTATTTGCCTAGGATTCATAAATTAAATGGTAAAACAACTAATAGACTTTATTAATTTTATTATTATATTAATTGTATTTTATTCAAATGAATTAATATTAATTAAATATATATATACATATATATAGCAACTCTTCAAGAATATTTTGGAAGTTTCGTTGGTGCCAATAGTTATTTGACACCACCTGGTTGTCAAGGATTTGCACCGCATTATGATGATGTGGAAACATTTATTTTACAAATTGAAGGAAAAAAAAGATGGAAATTATATTATACGACAAATGACAAAGGAATATTAGCTCGTTATTCATCAAAAGATTTTAAACATTCAGAATTAGGTGAACCTTATTTTGATAAGGTGATAACACCTGGAGATATGTTGTATCTTCCACGTGGAACAATTCATGAAGCAATAGCTGATACGAAATGTCACAGTTTGCACCTTACTTTGAGTGTTTATCAAAGAAATTCTTGGTGTGATCTACTTGATAAATTGATTCCAAATGCACTTCAAAAAGCAGTTCAAGAAAATTTTATTTATCGTGAAGGATTACCTATTGACTTTTGGAAACACTTTGGTAGTATACATGCTGGTGAAAAGTCTGAAGCACGAGATTCTTATGGAGCTATTGTCAAATGTTTGGTTGATAAAATTCAAAATTATATAGATATCGATCAAGCAATGGATGAATTATTCAAAAATCATATACATGATTCATTGCCACCGTCTCTTATGAAATATGAACAGAAACGTACTGCCATCTTGGATGGAGAAAGAATGATCTCAGAAGGAGTTTTAAGTAACTGCGTTCAATTGAAGTCTTCTACAAGTATACGAATAATAAGATCGCATTGTGTAAGGTAAATATTATCTTTAATATCAAACAATAATAATAATTCTATTATACGTTTAAAGATAACATTTTATCTATTTCATTCTTTTGTTATTTAACACGATTAGATTGGTAAAAGAAAAAGATGAAGAATATAGACTATATTATTCGACCGATAATTCGAAAGAATTTCATGGAAACGAATTGCAATATTTAGAAATTGACGATGTATTTGTACCAGGTATAAAAAAACTTTTGCTTGTATATCCTGAATTTATTAAAATTAAAGACCTACCTATTGACGATGAAGAATCTAGAGTAAGTTTTTCTCTTTTCAATCATAAGTTATAATATATAATAATTAATAATTAATAATAATCATAATAATAATAATAATAATATTTATAACACACAGTATCAAGTAGCAAAGGATCTTTGGGACAGAGGTATAATAATGACTGATGAACCTATAGTTTCCGAAGAAAGTAAGAAATGATGATTAAGCTCTATTAGAACAATTATTCTTCTTTATATATACATACATATTTAAGATGACGTTAATATTATTAATAGACACCAATTCCATGTATTAACTTGGATTTTTATCATAAAGACTGATCAAACTATTCTATAATTTGTGCAACATAAGAAAAATTAATAATTGAAATATAGTCAGATTAATGAAAGTGAAAGTCATTAAAAATGCTCAAATTGTTGAATATTTCTCATTGTCATTTTTCCTATGAACCATATTCAAAATTATGTTCAATCTTGTACAACAGGTATATTAGAGACAAATGTGAATTGAATTAACACTAAACAATTATTAACAATTAATAGTTATGTATATATATATAGATATATGTATATACATTAAATGTATGTGTATATAAGACCTTCTTTTAATTTTTAATATTATTTCTAGTAATCCTTTTTGCTTGAGTAATATGATCCTTTCGTCTTCCCAAAACATACTCGTCGTATCCTAAATAACCATCGTTATTGGAATCATCTTCTTCCAATACTCTGTCTATAAGACCTTATATAAAAAAGTATATATATTTTTTTTATGTGTACATATATAGAATTAGAAGAACAATTAATTGTAAAAATCGTGTACTTTGTTATGAACTTACCTACGAGTCGTGGTAATTCATCCTCTTGTATTTGTGGTTCATCCTCATCCAAACTTTTACCCTCTTCGACCATATTAAGTTCGTGAAAAGTGTGCTGTATAGCATATAAAATTTCAAGGCCATCTAATTTAGTATTATTATCGATATCATGTGCTCTACAAATGAAGATATATACCAATGAAGTTTTTTAACAATTTGTCTGCAATTGATTTAATTCATTTGAAATAATTTAAATGATTTAGTTCATACTTGAAGTAAAGGAATTCAACCTCCTGTTCGCTTAGTTTTGAAAAATCAAGCTGGGACGCTATTGGCCCCATGTCTTCTGTCAAGTGACTAAAATGTTAAATTTTGTAATTGTACGTGTTACGTCAGAATTGTTTTAAAAGACAACTATTAGAAATAAAATAATATATCGATTAGAAAACCAACGTGGCATCGTGAAGAAGTTCTGTGTCCTGTGTTAACTTAACACCTTTCTGTGGGGAGTAATGATGATGAGAAATGGAACTTCTTGGATGATGTGGACCACGTAATCCAACCGCAGAAGCGATACATAAGCCGAGGAAAAATGCTAACACCATTTGTCAATCTGAAAGGACTACAACAAAAAAGAAAGAAAACAAAGTCAACGATCGTATAAGGATAACAAAAATAATGGTTGATATTCGTTAAAAAATAAGAAAGCATCACTTTGATCAGATCAGTATTCGATTCATCGTCGTGTTCTTTTTCTAATGTTCATTGATCAGCAAAACTTTATAAGAACGAAAGAAGGAAGGAAGGAAGGGTGGTAGAATCAGAAATTGAACGACGACATTCCGTGTAAGCGACAATAGGACCTGCTGGGTCACGTTCATCGGGTATGTTGCCCTAGAATCACCTATTGGTTCTTGTAGGGGTCGAATACCCCCTTGGCCAGCGACAGATGGACGGTAGGGGGGGTCCCGATAATTATTATGCGATTACCCACAAGCCCATTGATTTAGTTTTAACCCCAGGGAATATACTGTTCGGTACTTGTACATTGAACAACACTAGTCGTGTCCTCTTCTTCTCCTAAGTTACAAGTAAACTTGAGAATATTTTTTCTTTTTAAATTGAAACACTATTTTCTCATTTAATTTTTTTTTTAACATTGACTATATATATATACAAAGAAATAAATAAAAATCGAATCAGAATAATATTATTTTACCAATTATTATTGTTAATATGTAAAAAACGATTTAAAAATAAAGAAGTATAAAAAAAAATAAAAGGAACACATTGTATAATCTCGAATTCATCCATTTCTCTCAAATTTCATGTATTTCGGCTTCTCCAATAGAGCGTAAAGCCAATGGGCGTAGGTGTTAAGAGAGACACACGAGCAAGCAGACAGGCAGGCACGAATCTAGGGTATTTAGGAATCAATTTTATAGAGAGAACTGGAGTCGGTGGTTGAGCGAGAGTACATATGTTGAGGGGGTGCCCCAAGGGGTTTTCGATGCAAGTGGACCCCCGGTGGTTGTTCACTCCCCCTTGGAGTTTCGAACGAAACACGTTCTTACTTTTACTCTACTACGAACAACCCTCCTTCCAACGGAGTTGGAGTCGTTTCAGCATCGTATCTAAGGGTAGTGTACGGGTGTCGAAATCTATAAATAATTTATATCATTTGGTCCATTCATCGAGGCGGCCCATATGTACCTGTGTCGCCTTACAGGGGACGACCTGTACTCTAACACCGTGTGTTAGCTACAAATCTTCCTTCCTTTCTACTGTACAAGCAACATTACAAACTATTCGTCTGTCTCTAAGTCGGATTGATCCAAAGCTAATAATGTACGAATGAGAGTGAGAGAAAGAGAAATAGAAAACGTGTGTGTGTGTATGTGTGTGTGTGTGTTGTGTATTCTACAAGAGTATTTTTCACTTATCTCATTCGTAACATCAACAAGTTGATATTAAAGTAAATGATAAACTTGAAAAATAAGAAACCCCTATCTTTCAATTGAATTATTCATTCTGCATGATGTGTGTGTGTGTGTGTGTGTGTGTGTATGCATGTGAGGTGAAGTTCTTTTTTTTTGGGTAACTTGAGAAGATCACTTTGCTATACAAATTCATTTTTAAACGAGCCCCGTCTATTTGTAAAGTTCGTAAACCGTGACTATCGGTACTTTCTGTGTACTCGATCTTAACCCATATGGAATAGAAGAAGAAGGAAGGGGTGTCCACCCTTTTTCTTGCTTTTCTATCCCTCTCTCTCTCTCTCTCTCTCTCTCTCGTTAACGTTTGATACAATCAACAAAAATAAAGGATCCTTCACAACATCGTCAGAATCAACCAACCACTCAGCACGCAAACGCAGGAAAAATCTTCATACATACATAGATACATACATACACATAAACGATTGAAAGTCGGTCACACAACCTATAACAAAATTCTGTTTTGCGAGAAATATCGAAGGAAAATAACTACGTTTATTATTTACCTTTGGATGATACACACGTTGTTTTAAATAATATTGGTTTTTATGTTTTGATTCCTTTGAACTTGTCGACTGACACTTCCTTCGATCTTCCTCTCTTTTCTTTTCTCTCTTCTCGTTGATAATGATCATTCAAATTTTCCTCGAGAAAACGCAACTTCTTCTACTTTGCTAAACGTTAGGATGGAACGCGTGACACTTATCGACGTTTTTCCATGGAGTTTGCGCCCTAAACGAGTTGCTCCGAACAAACGCGCTCGACTCTTTGACTTTCCAGAGATGAAAACACAACTCGCGAACAACTCTTGGGGTATCGCGTTGAAGATTAGTTTCCTCTTTTTTTTTATTTTCTTGTTACCTTCTCTTTTAATCGAGCGTAATTCTAATCGACAACTTGACGACATTGTATAATACATTTTTAAAGTTCATAATCAAACGATCATTTATACATTTCAGAATTTAATCTTTATAATAATGTTTTACGTAACAAAATATATTATTAATAAAAGTATTATTGATTGTTATTGTATAAAAATGATCATGATTGATGTTTAATTGTGCGTGTTTCATTTTTATACTTTAAATTTATCATCAGAATTATTTCAATAAGATAATAACGAGATTTCAAAGTATTAGGTTGATCGAAAAGTAATATCGCTTTTTAACCTCAAAATTCAAACAAACAAAAGTTTTTATTATTAATCAATAATTAAATTAATTAACTAAATTAATTAATCAACCTTTTTCTATGTAGTATGCAAATGTTTAATATCGTAACGATAAAAGTCATCAATCAGTTTTTTGATTTAAAATATTCGAAATAATTTGACATACGTAGTGATGACATTACTTTTCAGTCCCCCTAATAATAAATTGAATAATAGGTTTGACAGATGTTTATATAAATAAAAACAAATAATGAAAGTACTTAAAAAATTGGGATTATCGTTAAAATAAATAAAACCTTATCATTGTCACGAAACAATAATTGTAATTATTGTTTAAATACACATTTTTATTGTTAATAGTTTGATGAGCAATAAATTTGAAGCTTCAGTTGAGAAACCTATGGTTATACTATTTAATTCCTCTTCGGTTATTCGAACAAGAGAATAACAAGGCTCCTGAGATAAACCAAATCCTCGTACCATAGATAGATAGATAGATGATAGATAGATAGATAGATGATAGATAGATAGATAGATGGTTAGATTGTGTAGAGAGGTGATGCACCTGTATCAAAGGGTATCGCTTTGACATGTTAATTTTGTACGATACGAGAAAGGTAAAAAGGGGAATACCCTTGCAAAAGTCAATAGACCTGTGATAAGAAAAAATTTCATTTCTATTTGGTGGGTTGTTCTTTTGGTGAACCAATGGGACATGTGACATTAGGACATTGGGTATGATCGTTATAAAGGGAGGAAGGAAGGAAGGAAGGAAGGAAGGAAGGGTTCTGTTGATCCAGATTCGATAATATTTTATGAACTTTAAATTGAATGTGTAACGGTAACCGGAGGGCTCTAATGAACTTAGCAAACGAGAAAGTCAGAGAAAGATTAAGGACATATTTCTCATGCCAATCATTTTAATTTGTTCTAATGTTACATTAGAAAAATCTAGGATAAGTAGAGTACAATTTAGCGAATACCAACAGCAACAGCAAAATAACAACAGTAGTGGATGGTCGGCTGATCTATTGGGTTGGCAACTAATTGATTGCGGATTTGAAATAAGAATAAAAATTCCAAAGTTTTGTTTAAAAAGATAAATTTATTCAATTAGGTACTATCCATTTTTGTCGATGAAGTGTTATGACACTGTCAAGTAGTGTTATAATGCCACGTTCATAAAATTTCTTATCTTTCCTATCAAAAAAACTAAATTAGGTGTAAAACAAAATCAACAATGACTTAGTTGTTAACCAAATAAATTTCTTTTTAATTTATTTAATGTTTTTATATTTTTATTTTTATTTTTTTTTTCTTCTTTGCATTTAACGAATACCAACAGCAATAGCAAAACAACACAACAGCAACAAACAATAATAGCAGTGACAGCACAGTTGATAGGCTGATCTAAATTTATTTCTATTTTATTTGATATTTTTATATTTTGTATTTTTATTTTTATTTTTATTTCTTCTTTTTCTTCTTCTTCTTCTTCTTCTTCTTATTCTCCTAGTCTACTTTCATATTTTTCTTTTTCTTCTTTGCGATGTATCGGGCAAACGGGGATGATGGTAGGAAAAAAGGAGGGGGAGGTTCACAAAAGAAAAAGAGAAAGAAATGAAAAAAAAAAAAAAGAGAAGAAGAAATAAAAGAAGAGAGATGGATGGATGGATAGATGGTTGGATAGATGGATGGATGGATGGATGTTACGAGAGAGAGAAAAAGAAAAAGAGAGAAACAGAGAGAGAGAGAGAGAGAGAGAGAGAGAAAGTGTGTGTACTCGTGCATGGACGCGCAAACGTGCTCGCTAAAGAGAAAGAGAGAAAGAAGAACGGGATGAGGAGGGTAGTAGAGTGAGAGGGTGAGTGAGTGAAGAGAAAGAGGAAAAGCACGATAGGGGAGAGAGTGGAGTGGAAGATGAGGATGAGGATGAGAAGGTTAAGGGAGGGGAAGGATCGAGGCATAGATGGATAGATAGAACGAAAGAGAGTGAGAGAGAGAGAGACAGAGGTTTGCCAGAGAAGAACGGGGGTGATGGAGGAGGAGGAGGAGGTTAGGGGGGAGGAGCGGATGGGTCTCTCGTTGCTAGGGCAACCAGCGTAGCCTAAAGCTATGCTTTTATTGATTCCAAGCCGCAAACAATGTACAGGAGTGGATGTTTCGCTCTGTTCTCTCTCTATCCGTCTGGATAGTGAGGTATTAACACACCCCGAAATACCGATACCCATGGGCACGTGTCCCGGAAAAGCAGGGTGGTGGTCCCATATACCAAGCGAGAGAGTATGTCATACACAAGTGTAACAAAGAGAGATAAGTTTGACAAAGACAAAATGATAGATAGATAGAGACAATTAATGGTGGATGAGAGGGTGGTGGTGAGGGTGGGGGTTAAATAAAATAAGATGGAATACATGTAATAATAATATAACAGTATAGTTTATAGGATGTAAGTGTAACATCGTAATCTTTGTTGTTGTTGTTGTTTAGATAGATAGAAAGAGAATTAAGGGTTGGTGAGGGTGGGTAGGGGTGGGGATTAGATAAAATGAGATAGAATATATGTAATAATAATATAACAATATAGTTTATAGCAGTTATTTCTAAAGTGGGTGCCAACGACCCCTGGTGGGTGGTACAACGATTCAGGGGGGTTGTAGAAACATTAATACATATATATTTCCTGTTAATTGCTATTACAATTTTTAAAAAATTAATTTCTAGTGGGCGCTAAGTAAAGGAGAACAAATTTTGGGTACCACTGGTTTATAGGATATTAGTGTAACACCGTAATCTTTGTTGTCATCATCGTTGTTGTTGTTATTTAGATAAATAAATAGAAAATTAAGGGTAGTTGAATTAAGGGTGGGATTGGGGGTTAGTTAAAATAAGATAGAATACATATAATAATAATACAATACTCTAATTTATAAAATATAAGTGTAACATCGTAATCTTTATGATCTATCATCATCATCATCATCATCATCGTTGTTGTTTTTGTTATTGTTGTTGTTGTTGTTGATGGTGGTTGTCATCGTGAAACCTCAGATACTCTTGATCATACTAATCCTTGTATAATAATCGATTCGAATCTATTTAAAGTTTACTTCCTACCGAATAATTCAACCCCCCCCCTCCCTCCCCCCTACTCCTGCCTTATCCTAAGCTTCCCCTACCACTTTGGTTTCTCTCGATTTCTGTGTTCACCATACCTTGAACACGTAGAAATAGGTGTGCATAGGTGGCCAAGCGCGCGCACAAGCAAGCTAGCAAGCGAACAACAACAAAACAAACAACGAAAGGATTCTATTCTCATTGGAGATCCAGAGAGATAGAGAAAGAGAAAGAGAGAGAGAGAAAGTTTCCTATTCGGATGGACCATGTTTCTTTCTTTTCTAGGTTCGTCCATGTCGATCGTGAACGTGGCTAGCAAGATAAAGGTTTTGCACATACAGAAAGAAATAGAACAAAAGAGAGAGAGAGAGAGAGATAGTGGTCCATCAATTCTGGATAATATTCTTATTTTTATTTTCTTTTTCTTTTTTCAATGAAATTTCCAATCGTGTTTATTTCACTCAATTGTGAAAGAGGTTAGGAAGAAAACAATGTTGAAAAATGAACAATTAGTAATGGATTTTATTACGATAATTAGGAAGATATCGAACCATATGACACCTATGTATCAATTCTAATGATTTTTTATATATATTTATGTATATATATGTGTGTGTGTGTGTATAATTGAAAAAATGTATGGATAATGTTATATTTTTTTGTTGTTGATGTTTTTTTTTTTTTTATTATTTTTAGTTTAAAAACGTTTTATTCCTAGCAATAAGAGAGACCAATTCGTCTGGCCGTTGTTTTTCGAACGACCACGACAATAGTGATAAATTAGCAGGTAGAGATTGACAATTAACGTAACTCGCAGAATAACCAAGGTAACATGGGAGGATGATGAATGTTTTTTTTGTTTTTTTTTTTTTTATATTTTTTGTTTTGTTTTGTTTTGTTTTGTTTTTTGTATGTGTTACACGTCAACAAGTGATTGGACGACGGACGGACGGACGGACATCGAGGAAAAACCATGCGTGGATCATCTCTTTTTATATTTTTTTATTTAAATCTCGTTCCCCCTCCCTCCCTCCCTCCCCCCCCGTCACTCTTGAATCGTCAACATTTATACTACTTGAATCAACGTATTTCAATCGGTTTATTTTATTTAATATGTTTGAAAAGATTTTTTTTCACGTTTGTTTTGTTTATTATTATTTGTTATTTAAGTAACATCAAATAAATTAAAGAAAATTTTGAAGTATAAATTTAATTTTCTAACCTCTTAAAAGTACAATGATATTAATTGAAACAATAGTAAATTTGTAATACTTGAGTCAAAGTATTTCAATTGGTTTATTACAAAATATGTTTGTACAAAGTTTCTCGGGTTTTTTATTTCTTATTTAGATAAATTACAATGAATTAAATAAAATCTTGAAGTATGAATTTAATTTTCTAACCTCTTAAGAGGAACAATGATAATAATTGAAACAATA